TCCAACTCATTATCTGCATTCAAGGATGTTTACAGTGGTTAAAGGGATCATCTTTAAGACAATACTTTCTGTATGAAATGTGTACAAAATCTATACTAATATCAAAGAGAAACACGTGACATTTTTAATATTTAGTAGAAGTGAATGAGTTGACACAGAAGCTGACTTAAACTTGCTCAGAGAAACGCTGTTGCTGTCAAACATTGTTTACTTTCCTAAGCCAGTTTAATGGTAAAGGGATTGACCTGTGAGGGAATTACCAACCTACATCACACATGATGTCACATGGGTTCAACTGCGCATACCGATTGCAAAAGACAAACAGCAAACATGTTGTGTTGTGCCGTAGGATGCCAAAATAGAAAGTCCAAAAATAGACACTTAAATTTTACCGTACACCTAACTGCTTTTAATGCCAACCACAGACGTCATTGGCTAACAGCCATCATAAGAGCTGAATGGAGTGTGGACCTAATTAAAAATGCTTGACTCAGTTCTCATGTTATATCAGGTAAGTTCACGCTATGCTGAATCATACACATTACTTGTTTTTGATTGCAGTAATGATTTCAGCAAAAACAGTTAAATATGGTGAATTAAACTGCGGACACTATATGCTTAGAATGAAATGTAAAAAAGTAATTTCACATACCCTGCCTTACAGATGCAGTTCGCTGTCAGAATGCAATTGTTTTGCTTGTTGATGATTACCCAGGCCTTGAACAGTTCCGTCTTATTTCCTTGTCTTTGGCTTGTCTTTAGGAGAAGCAAAACTTAACAGTTCTCAAAGTTAAAACTCTATTCATTTTATTCCACTGGGAAATGAACTTTTAATTATAAAGATTATACAAACATTATAAAGACAGGCATAATAAAACACAGTCTGGCTTCAAATGTTGGGATTATGCTTAGTTGGTTGGCCTAATATATTTATCAAAATAGTAAAAACGTTTTTATTAAAAATCTCATGTGAAAAATGAATGGAATCAAATTGCTCCAGAAAAAAAAAAAAAAAAAAAAAAGGTGGGTGGAAACTAATGCACTGTTTAGGGGCCAAGACCCTGTTGTATCCCTACTGTATTAACTTTTTTTCTTCTTTGTACTAAAGTAAGTAAAAGAAGAAAAGGAGAAATAAAGATATAAAAGCTGTCATTGAGTGTTACTTTATTCTAAAATGTAGTAGCTTTAAGCTACCAATAAGGACACTTTAGGTACATGTACACTTTTGTAAATACTGTCACTCCTATTTCTTGCACATGACCACACAGAACAAAATTGTAGGCATCTAAAGACTTGTTGGCATTTAACTTCTTATATATATACAATTGAAGTCCGAATAATTAGCCTGTGTTTTTTTTTCCCCACTTTCTATTCAATGAAGAGAAGATTATGGTAATCAGGCAAGTTATTGTATAACGATAGTTTGTTCTATGGACTATCACAAAAAAAAAAAAAAAAAAAAGCTTAAAGGGGCAAAAAATGTTAACCTTAAAATAGATTTTAAAAAAATTAAAACTGCTTTTATTCCTGCCAAAATAAACAAATATGACATTCTCCAGAAGGAAAAATATTATCGAATATTATATTGAAAATTTTAACACAATTTGGAAAATATTTAAAAAAGAAAAAAAAATCAAGAGGGGCTAATAATTCTGACTTTAACTGTATCTATATCAGTTCAGTACTCATGAAGGCACACATTATATATACTAATACTGTGAAGAAGAAACTGTTAAATAAAGTTGCCTAAACTGAATCTGAATTTGGTTCAGATTCTAATATTTATGTGGCAAAAACGTAAAATAAAATTCTGAGAACTTTTTATTTTTGTTTGTTATTCGCATCAGTTCAATCAATGAGATGTAAAAATATACAGCAGTAAAGTCTATAGCTTTATTATCTATTACAGTCTATAGGTTGGGCGACGTGGTGGCGCAGTGGGTAGCACGATCGCCTCACAACAAGAAGGTCACTGGTTAGAGCCCCGGCTGGGCCAGTTGGTATTTCCGTGTGGAGTTTGCATGTTCTCATCATTTTGGCATGGCTTTCAAAAACATGTGCTATAGGTGAATTGGATGAACTTGATTTGCTGTAGTGTATGAGTGTGTGAATGCGAGTGTGTATTGGGTTAGCACTGGGTTGTACTGGGTTGTGTCTGGAAGGGCATCCGCTGCATAAAACATAAGTTGGAATAGTTGGTGATATATTTCGCTGTGGCAAACCCTGATAAATAAAGGAATGTCGAAGGAAATGATTGAATAAATGAAAAAAAATCCAGATGGTTTATATATATATATATACTGTAGCAATAAATATTATACTGTTTATTCCAGGGATGACATGTTTTAAAAAATCATTGTTTACACATTGCATTATTGCAATAAATCATATTACATTATGATGGATCATTTAATCATGATGAAGAAAGAAATATCCTAGAAATAAATGTACAAAACTGGTTATTGGCAGCACGGTGGTGCAGTGGGTAACACAATCGCCTCACAGCAAGAAGATCGCTGTTTCAGGTCAGTTGGCATTTCTGTGTGGAGTTTGTATGTTCTCCCTTTATTGGCATTCTACCGGTGCTCCGGTTTCCCCTACAGTCAAGACGTGGTATAAGGTGAATTGAATAGGCTAAATTGGCTGTAGTGTATGTTAGTGTGTGTAAGTATTTCGCAATGTTGGGTTGCAGCTGGAAGGGCATCCGCTGCGTAAAACGTGCTGGATAAGTTTGCAGTTCATTACACTGTGGAGACCCTTGATTAATAAAGGGACTAAGCAAAAAGAAAATGAAATGAAAAAAGTGGGTTTCAGTATTTACAAAAGTGTACTTGTACCTAAAGTGTCCTTATTGGTAGCTTAAAGCTACTACATTTTAGAATAAAGTACCACTCAATGACAGCTTTTATATCTTTATTTCTCCTTTCCTCCTTCTACTTACTTTAAAACAAAAAGACAAAAGTTAATACCATAGGGATACATTGGGGTCTTGGCCCCTAAACAGTGCATTAGTTTCCACCCACATTTTCCTCTTTTTCTGGAGAAATTTGATTCCATTCATTTTTCACATGAGATTTTTAATAAAAACGTGTTTACTATTTTGATAAATATATATTAGGCCAACCAACTAAGCATAATCACAACATCTGAAGCCAGACTGTGTTTTATTATGCTTGTCTTTATAATGTTTGTATGAAAAAATTCATTTCCCAGTGGAATAAAATGAAAAGAGTTTTAACTTCCAGAACTGTTAAGTTTTGCTTCTCCTGAAATTAAATTTAGGTCCAAGAGAGGGCTGCTGTCGTAAGACAACAAACCCTGAATAAAAAAATGTAAACAACAACAATTTTTAAAAATTAACACCGTGTATTAAAGTGAATGTAAAGTTGAGTAAACAGTGTTGTTATTCCCTTTAGTTCTTTATGCATCACTAGAATATCAAAGGTCTGCTAATATTTAAATATATTTTCATTATATATAATATTTTGATCAGTTGAACCTATAGCAAAACACACTTGCAGCCAATCAGTATAATTGGATGTGTCTCTATAATTAATAAACAGAATGTACTTAGGACACACCCACGCCAAGTGTTGGGGGGAGTTCAGCCCACTTCATTGACCTCTATTGCAGGAAACTGCATCCCTGTCATTCCTGACTTGTGATGTTTCATAAACAAATTTGGGGAGGAGCACGATCAGTCCTTGACGAGGCTAATTAATCACAGACAATCATTCTATTATCCAATGAGCTCTAGACCAAACTCCTATAAATAGTTAAACAAGTCAAACCCTCATTTCTCTTGACTTTAGCATCCCTCCACCACCCGAACTCCACACCATTAAAATCGATGCTAACTCAAATCTGAGGGAGAGCATTCTGGAGCCGGGCTAGACACTGCATGTGGACCCTATATTTCTCTAACCTGACAAGGGGAATAACACATGTTAGGGTGTCTTTCCGAGCTCAGAGCCCTCTCCCTGGACAGCATGCCAAATATGCATATTCTATTCAGTCAAATATCTGTGAGTGAGAACTCTTAAAAAAAAAAAAAAAAAAAAAAACAGAACGATGAATTGATGTAAAACAGTGTTTCTCAACCATGTTCCTGTAGGGCCACCAACTCAGCACATTTTCCATTCCCCCCCAACTAAATACACCTGATTAAGATCATCAACTCATTAGCTGAGACTGAATGACCTGTGTGACAGACAAAAGGGACATCCAGATCATGCAGTGCTGGTGGTCCTTCAGGAACATGGTTGAGAAACAGTGAATAAGAAATAAAATCAGAAAATAATGTGAATGAAGCAGAAAGCTGTGCAGTAATGTTATTTGTTACATTATATACACATCGAGCTCTTCAGGTGAATCATTTCTAGAACAAAAAACCCAAGTAAAGAAAAGGGCTGATATAGACCAATACAGTTTAGTTTCTTCTTGTATCAGGTTCACATGTGGTGAAATAATTCTTATTCCATTGTTAAAAATAATGTGTCCTGTTGTCAATTACGTTTCATTTCAGCTGGTGTAACGGTAGTTCTCTTACTTTTCAAGCTGCACCCTATTTTAGTGTCCTGCTCATTATTTGGCAGATTGTCAGCTTATAAAAACATAGTTCTAGGTTTTTTTTTAGCTTGTTTTCTGTTTATCTTATCGCACAGCATTTTTCAGACATTGTTATGTTCAGTCATTCATTGGAATATGACAAGGAAGCAGCTTCTTGCAAAAGTCAATAGAGTGGGTTGTTTTTCCCCAGTGGGCGTGGCCATCAGATTTAGATTTGTTGGGTGTGTATTGGGACATATGTTTGTTTTGGTGCTTTCAAATTTGGCAAAATTCCTTTTTAAAGGGGATCTATTATGCAAAAATCACCTTTTTAAAAGTGGTTGAAACTCAATTGTGTGGTAACAGTTAAGCTATTATCATTATTATTTTAAAATAATTTATTAATGCCATTATTTTTTAAAATCACATTTGATAAAGACTGCAGAAACACTTTTAATTGACATTCTCCCTTTGTATGTGTCATCAGAAAGGGAAAGCCCCGTCCATTAGTGATGATCTCTCCCTCATTAGCATATACAGTCCTGCGTGAGAAGCAGCCATTGGCCTTTAGAGTTTTCATCAAACCTGCTGAAGATAATTTTAGTGACTGATGCTGCGTTCACAAGACGCAGATGAAGTGTCAAAGCTAGGTGCATCTCTGAAATGATCTAGTGCACTTGGACATGGCGCCAAACGAATTTATGCTATTTCTTAGCATACCTAAACCACATAAACACAGCTATTCTTTCAATGAAATCCATGTTAGCCATTTAGCAATGAAGCTAGAGTCATCGGGCAGATAGAAGCCCAGCTCATGATGCAAATCCGCATCTATTGTGAAGTGAATTTGATACGGGATTAAAGCGAGTAAACAAAATGTTGACGTGCCTATTTATGTAAGAATAGCATTTATTGGTGCATTCTGTGTCTGGTGTGAACACAGCATAAAAGGTATTATAAATGTTGTGTTTTCGGATGCACAAATGAACACTGTAGTCTCCACTAACTGCCTTTTCTAAGTCACTTCTTTTGACAATTTCAGTTTTTCACAGAGAAAACATTAGTTCTGTTTTGAATCTGCCCCTATGCTGACATACAGGCATTTGTAGCTCCACCCTCATTTGCAAAGAATAACAATCTCATTTGAATTTAAAGCAACTATCACTAAAATAGCACAGTTTGGACCAAAACCTAAAAGTTGCCGTTTCAAGTTATACAATTATTTGTTTGGTATTTTGAGCTTCATATACTCTTGGGACATCATAGGCTTATTTTACATTTGTAAAAAGGGGCATAATAGGTCCCCTCTAAGTAAAAATGTATATAAAATTGTCACATATTTGGGACTTGTAAACATCCTCAATGCCTTTGAACACTGTATGTTATTGACACTAGGCTGCTGACATTCTCTGAGTTGAAACCCTCAGAGCATTACAGAAAGACTTGATGTTGTGTTTAAAGCAGGATTTACATTTTGAATTGAATTGAATTTAATTGAATTGAACATTTAATCCTCTTCTCTTCCATACAAATCTGCCAGCTTCTTGAAGCGTGGGCCCCACTCATTGAGGAAGTCATAGTCTTGGTCATTTTCTGAGCTGGAAGAGTTGAGGGAGCTGAGTGAACCTGCATCTGAACCTACTCCTTCATAGTCAAACACCAGCAGAGAGTCGTAGGGAGGAGCTGTGGGGTCATTATCTGCAGTCTTCAGGTTCTACAGTGCAAACAATCACATGGTCATTTATGAAGAAGGCAATCAAAGTATTTTATGTAATTGTGATAAATGGGGGTGCCAATTGACTGCTATCAAAGGTGCATCACATTTTTCTAGTGATGGAAGCGTTTATGGATATGCTCAATTGAACTGATTATAATTGTTGATGCACAGGGGTCTTTTATTTGCTATGGACCCCCAAAATATTACCTTTAAAAAAAAAAGTCTTATACCATAGATACTTTGTTAATCTAAATCTAAATTAAGTATATTTTAGTTTATTTTTACTGTAAGAGTGTATTACTTACATGATCAACAAATGTGCTGATGTCCTCAGAACTGGCTGGTCGAGGTCTATACTGAGGTGCTGACAAAAAAATAGGACAAATGTCGTTCCTGTACACATTTGGTCTGTTGTCCAGGCCTCGATGCAGCACACTCAAATCAAAGTCCTGTGCAGAAAGTGCATTTGATATGAAACATAAGATATATTTAAAGAATTACTCTCTTGTTTCTATTGTATTATCAGAAAAATTAATACGCACCCTAGATGGTGATGCGTCTATGACCTTGAGTGTGCATTAGAGTCAAATAATTTAACTGTGGCCGACGTGTGTTCAGGGACGGTGCGTGCATGGAGGCGACCTAGGAGGCTGCCTTGGGCAGCAGAATAGTGAGCGAACCCACCGGTCCTAACTTTCATCTGTGAACCAGTCACTTTCGGGTTGAGGGCGGTGTGATTGCTGTTTGCCTAGAGCACCAGTTCAGCTTGCTCTGGTCCTGCGTATGTTTAACATGCAAATAAATATGGATAAGACCAAGGACGCGCTTTTAGAAGGAAAGTTTCAGTTTAAAACAATTAATGTCGCATCACCAGGTTATCTTGTGTTTCCTCCAGAGTTTCATGCCAATTCTGGGTGTTTCATTTTTAATGTTTAGACTTTAACTGCAGTTCAGCAGTTCACGCTCATTCAGCATTTTTCATTTAGGATGTTTAATGAAATTTGATACAGCATGGCGAATGGAAAGAAAAACCTCTGCATTTCGGGACTCGCATGATCCTTTAAGGTAATCAAATCACTGCTTACATGGGAGACTCTCATTCAGTTTTATCTTAATCATAAAAGCTGAGTATTGGTGTCCATGTAAATGTACTGTAGTAAAAGTGGCAGATGAAGTCGCAAGCTGTCAAAGACAGTCACAACCCTATTCCTTTAAGCTGCATCCATGAGCCCTCACATTTCATAAGTTTGACTTGTGTCCCCCCTTTTGTAAAGCTTTAAGTTCCTCTGTCAGAATCTTTGCTTGTAAAATACAGCCATACTTTAGCGTTCTTAGTTTAAGCAAATTTGATGAACGCGATCATGTGTGTTGATGAATCTGAAGGGATCTCTCCCTAGCTCACCGGTTTTGCTGTACTGCGCGCGTTGTCTGTGTGTGTGTGTGTGTGTGTTTGTAGGCCACTTAAAATCCAACATAGAAATCATTTTTGTTTGTTATTGGCATTGAATGTTTTGAAATTCAAACAGCACTTAAATACCTGTCTCTTTATTTCTGTACTTCTGTAATAAATATGACGTTTCGTGATTAATCATGTTTAATTACAAAAAAGTGTGATTAGTTATGTTAATTTTTTTATCATTTGACAGCCCTAATATATATATATATATATATATATATATATATATATATATATATATATATATATATATACTGTATATATATATATATATATTATACTGCCCAAAAAAAAAAAGTTTAGCTGGTCGACCAGGGGTTAGTTTCCCAAACAACATCGTAACTCGCGGCTGAACTATTATCGTATAATGCATCAAATGGGAAAAGAACGATGTAGTGGTGAGTGTTTCCCAAAACCCATAGTTTCTCTGCCGCAGAGCCCTCGTTTGACCGTTAACATACGGTAAACATAACATAACATAAAACGCCCATTTTGATGCTCTAAAGGGGGTGGACTCCTTTACAAATATTATTGAGAATATTCCATAGTCTATTCTAAAAGATTAAATCACTAAAACGCTAACAAGTATTCTAATAGCATTCATTCATACATTTTCTTTTCGGCTTAGTCCATTTATTAATCCGAGGTCGCAGCAGCAGTATGAACCACCAACTAATCCAGCACGTTTTTACGCAGCGGATGCCCTTCCAACCACAACCCATCTCTGGGAAACATCCACACACTCTCATACACTACGGACAATTTAGCCTACCCAGTTCACCTGTACCACATATCTTTGGACTGTAGGGGAAACCGGAGCACCCAGAGGAAACTCACGCGAACGCAGGGGGAACATGCAAACTCCACACAGAAACGCCAACTGACCCAGCCGAGGCTGAAACGACCTTCTTGCTATGAGGCGACACCTACTGCACCACTGCGTCGCCTCTAATATTATTTATCAATAAATATATTAGTTAATTTATTGAGAAATTACATTTTATATTTATTAGAAAAATAAAAAAATGCTACTTTAATAATAATATTAATAATGATGATTGTTGTCTACTTTTACAATTTGACACATGCAAACCGCTGCAGAAATGTTCTAACCAACAAGCCCATGTCATGTACAGTACAGCTACTTAATAAATGTCCCACCACAAATTAAAAGCACTAGCGTATGCTATGTTTTTAGTTTCCACAAGCTTTGAAGACGTAACATAAATTCCGCTTTTAAATAATAGGTCACCTATAGCTTTCGTCATGAGCCAAGGCTGTATTCAGCATGACATCTATGTTTTCAAAGTGCACTGCGAAGGGAGCACAATTGTAAACATGTAGGTCACTAAAACAGAACTGTAAAAATACTTAGAAAGCAAAAAACACCTTAAAAAGATGACTTTAATGCTTTTTAAAAAATAATTCCAAAATTACATTTCAGAATGTTTTAAATGAATAGGGCATGGGTGGATAACTGGGAATAGAACACAGCCAATTTCTAACAACAGCTCTAAGAGTGTAGTCACAAGCATACAAATTTGCGACTCAGTTTACAAATGTTTGTTGGAACTCAACTTGCGACTATAGTTGGCTAACCATGGTTTTTGGAAACACACCCCTGCCTGGTATTAGAGGGGTTTTGGCCATTTCCAGGCTGGTTTCCTGCCATTTCAAGCTTGGAATGGCTGGAAAATGACCAGCTAAAACCAGCTTGACCAGCCTGGAAACGGTTTAAGCTGGACATGGCTGGTTTAAGCTGGGCTCTCAGCTTGGCTAGGCCGGTCAAGCTGATTTTAGCTGGTCATCTCCCAGCCAGACCAGCTAAGACCAGGCTGGGAATGGCCAAAACCCCTCTAAAACTGACCAGATAATACCAGCCAACTAGGGTGTTGGTCTACACAAAAAAAGATATTTTGAAGAAATGCTGAAAATCTGTAACAATGTATATCTGTGTTTAATCTTACAATGAGGGTAAATAAACAGTAAATTTTCAGTTTTGGGTGAACTATCACTTTAAGGCTCATGCTTTCTCTCATGAGCTTTCACACATGTTTATTGTCAGCATTTTTTAACCTTTTTTTGTATGTCAGCATTTATACTCTGAATACAACTGCTATATCGATTCACTAGTTTTTAAAATGGTACGTCAAACCAAAAATAAATTAATACAAATACAAGCCCACAGTGTTTTTAAATGATGCTTTATGCCTGCTAATTTTCATGTTAGTGCACGCTCACCTTAGTACACTTTGTTTAGTCACAACACAAGACATTAAACATTGGCAAGTGTACCCAGCAGGCACACACATCATAAGACATTAATATTAGTTTAGATTTAGGTCACCAGCATCTAAAGAAAATGTTATTTTGACATCCAATAACAGCGTGAAATAGCGTTGACATTTGGTTGATTTTAGGTTGTGTTGGCATTTGACCAAAATCCAACGTTGAGCCAACATCTTAAACCAACGTCATATTGATGTCAAAAACTGACTTTTATTTGTCAGGTATGGCAACCAAAATCCAACATCTGATAGATGTTGTAGTTGTAACATCCACGCAGCGTTAAGCTGTAACATCATTAGATGTTGATATTTAGTTGTTTTTAGGTTGAGTTGGAAAGTGTAAAAAATTCAACATCTGTCAAACGTTGGACATTGACGTCGGCTTGACAATGGCTTTTGACATCAATACGATTTTCATTTGCAAACAAAATGCTAAATGCAACATCAATCTGACATCATGCATGACATCATCATCCTGTGCCTGCTGGGTACATGGACTTTTAGAATGTTCATCAGCCAATCAGAATCAAGCAATAAAAAGCACCCTAGTGTAAATATGAATAAGGACACTCTACACTGTTTACTACACCGAGGACAATCACTGTTGGTATTCTTAGAAAAACGAGTGTAAACCAGTGGAAATTCCATGTGGTCCAGGCTAGTTTATGCTGATTCGAGTCAGTGTGTAAAACAAACAGTCAAGTTATTACAAATATTCATACCCCTGGAAAACTCTGAATTCTTATAATCTTTAAGAAGAAGCCTGTGTTATTTGTGGTCAAAAAAACTGTACCTCATCATGGTAGTGAGGTCAGAACGGTATGCAAGAGGTAAATTTAATACATCTTAAACTGTATTTTCAAAAAATAAATAAAGAAATAAAGAAATAATAATTATATTTAAATTACCTAAACATTAAAACTAACCTGATCGTCTTCTCCACCGCCTTCCTCATCATAACAGTAGATGTTGTCTCTTATTTCATAATCTTCAGGAATGAGTGGCTCCTTTATGCTTCTGTGTTTTCTCCTCATGAACAGTAGAACCAGCAGAAGGAGTACTGGGATTGAATAAGAATAATCTTGATTACAAGTAGCATAAATTACACAAAACTGTTATGTAATGTTTAAAGGGTCAAACTGAGCAAATGCAAGCCTTTCCACCCATTTATAAGACACTATTTTATATTCAATAACTGTAAAATAATTCTAAACTCTGAGAAGCCATCATATTCTTCAGCTCTCATTTATTTAAGAGAATGTTTAATCAATTTATCTCCATAAAGGGCAGATGAGAGTGTTGGGAAGACTCCCTGTGCTGTGAACAGCATGATAAAAGTCTAGAATTGCCTGCAGGCCATGACATGCATTATTTCGACACTGATTATAATCATATAAACAACACATATAGCAGCACTACATCACTGTTTGTTCCTAGATTCTGTGGAATTACACGGCTGGTTTATGGTAGGTCCTGTTCACCTGGCTGAGAAAAGACTAATAACAGATAACAATTTCACCAAAACAATACCTGGCCTATTTAGTTTTTTCTTTTTATGTGTGTCATGACATATTTTAAAAAAATAAATAAAAATGTTTGTCCCATATTTATTTTTTCTAAAATCTTTTCAAGAGATCCCACTTAGGTATTATGCTTATATAGCAGGTCAGGCATGCTGTCTCGGGAAAGAACCCTGAGTTCAGAGACACTTGAGTGCAAGGCTCCTGCCTGGTCATTAAGCATATATGGGGATCCGAGATCAGGTAGGGCTCGAGAGCTCCCCTTTAGAGAAGGGAGGAAAAGGACGAAATGAGGTGGAAGGGGGGATTCTTCCAAAACGAAGATAGAGCTGTAGGGAGAAAACAATCCATTTATAGAAAGCTTGGATAACTCTGATTGGATTATTACTGATCACAGATGAGAAGCCAGTCGTGCTCAATCATATCCCGTGCTCCTCTCGAAATTAGTTTGTGAAACTTCATTTAATTGCTAAGTCATGGAAGTAGGTTTTTGTCAGACAAAGCCATTCAATATTAAAAATGTATTAGTTAGCAATAAAAGGTAACCTTTTATTTTGGGTAACACATACTCAAAAGTATTTAAAAAAAAACTTGTTTTAACTAATGTTACTGCTTATTGACAGTTAGAAAGGATGTTGTAGTTACGTTTAAGTATGGCTTCATGTTTAACAGTTAAAGAATATGTAAATAACATTATCAAGATTTACATTTGCTCAGATAATTGTTGGGTTCTATTAGCATAAATGTGATTAGTTTTATAAAAAGGACATACAGTACAGTGTAAAATGTTAGTGCCAAATCGGCCAGCAAGGTAGCCCAGGCACACATTATCTACTTCATTAGATTTAAATCTGTTTGCAATGTAACCAAAGCACGCAATCTAGTATAGTAGCATTAAATGATTTGGCAAGGTATCCCAGGTACAGGTGATGCAGTGACGCAGTAGGTGGTGCTGTCGCCTTGCCTCACAGCAAGAAGGTCACTGGTTCGAGCCTTGGCTGGGTCAGTTGGCTTTTATGTGTGGAGTTTGCATGTTCTCCCTGCGTTTGCGTGGGTTTCCTCCGGGTGCTCTGGTTTCCCCCACAAAAAAAAGACATGCAGTATAGGTGCATTGGGTAGGCTAAATTGTCCGTAGTGTATGAGTGTGAATGAGTGTGTGTGTGGATGTTTCCCAGGGATGGGATGCGGCTGGCATCCGTTGCATAACAAAAAAACATGCTTCCCTGAAAAAAGTGTTGCTTGCAGAACTGTTGCAAACAATTTATTTGTGTTGAATTTAAACAAACAAATTAAGTTTAATAATGTTCAACTTAATTTGTTTGTTTAAATTTAACATAAATAAATTGTTTACAGCCACTTGACGTAAAAAAATTAAGTTAATCCAAGGAATCAACTTTGAATAATTTTTTCAGTCTGGATAAATTGGCGGTTCATTTCGCTGTGGCAACCCTGGATTAATAAAGGGATTATGCCGAAAAGAAATTTAATCAATTAATAAATCCCAGGTACACATAATCTTGTTCAACAGTTTTAAGTATGTATGCAAAGTAAAATTGGCACACTATATTGAACTCTAGTGTGGGTAGGTACCCCAGGCACACATAGCATAGTACATTAGTGTTAGGCCTGTCAGCAAAGTGGCCAAGGCACATATAGGTTTCTCGAATCCAAGAACGCAAAGAATGGACTTGCATTCTTGTGAATACTGGTACTGCCAGGTCACCTCGAGAGAACGAACTTGGGAGACCGCAAGAACATAGAACATGTACTGTGAGAAACAAGATTGTGCATTCTTTCTGATGGTCACATGACCTTCACGCGTTTTTAACCGAAAATGATTTAAACATTACAGCATTCATACAACGATTTATAGTTTTTCCCCTTTTCACAATATATACTATGCATGAAGATATTATAATTATACGTTGTACAATCGAAATAAAACAGATTTTAATAGGAATTTCAACACATAAACACCCTTAAAGTGTTTATGCCTCTATTGAGATTTTTATGGTAAATTTTACTTTCACTGTTTCATTTAGAGAAACTCCTGACTGGTAAATAAGTTATATCTCAGAACTGTAATAATAAATCTATATAAAATGCTATGATTTTCACCTCCAGACGCAATGATTTCTGGGACTTCTCGAATGAGTTTGGTGCTTAAGTCTGCATCAGTGCATCCTCGATATCAAGAAGACATCTGGGAACATTTACGTGTCTTCCATTCTTGTGGTCTTGAGTTTTAGAACTGAACTTTGGCAGTTGGTGATGATGTTACATGAGGACTAAGATCACCAAAGAACGCATATTGAGAAACAGCCATAGTCTCTGAGTCCACTTTGAGAAATCTGGTCACCCTTAGCAGTGCCAGAGCATGCTCCTATATTGGTGGAAATGGACTAAAGGTGGTTCTTGAGCCACACATACTAATATTTCAGACACAAACATATTCTATTGCCTCCATTTTCGCAGTCAAGGAAAAAAAAAAGAAAGAGGCAATTAACTACAGTAGACATGACAGAGACTTGTAACTAAGTACCATTTTTTTGTTTTGTAAACAAAAGATACATCTTTTATGTTTGTGTGTGTATTTGTGTATTAATGTTCAATGATCCTAAACAATTACACTTTGTCTTATTAGGAAAGGTGAATTGCACATGGTTTTGATGAAGAAACCTTGATAAAAAGGATAATTTTGAACATTTGAAGTCTTTTAACACATTAGAATAATTTTTTTGGAATGTTGGTAATTATTGATTCTCCAGAGCCAAATAAGGAAAAACTAGAAGATCTCTACAAGTTTTCCACAGCCTTTAAAATATCTTCTGTTTTGAATTTAAAAGAAAAGGGAAACAGGTAAACTAAACTAAACTAAACTAAACTAAATGTTTATATTGCCCATGTTCAGTGTACATCATGCTGTGTGTGTGTCTGTGAGAGCATGTCAGTGGGGAGCTCATTAGTATTCACGACTGATCTAAATATGGTCAATATATAACTTCTGCTTTTAGTGTTTTTTATGGATTAATAAATGAGCTGTCATGTTCACCAGCGATAAAACCACCAGAGGTCGCTGCTAAACACTCACATCCACATGAACTACAAATCTGCTTCTAAATGGACTACATAACCAGTCATGCTCCACACACACAACCTGTTCCAGATCCTGAATGATTGCATACACACAGCTGATGCTGCTCATGTACTGATTACACAACCATATATACAGCTCACTGTGAAACCTGTTATTAGGCTATATATATTAGCTCACTGTGAAGACTCATTGCTGAGTCTTGTTATCTGTCACAGTGACATTACAACCCGTTTCCTTTGTCTGCCTTTGCCGTGTTTTGATCCTTGCCGTTTATTTATTTAATTCTGTTTGCTGCCTGCCTCTGACCATCTGCCTGTTGTTTTGACTTCGACTCTGGATTGCCCTCATACATCTGTTTGCCGTATTGACCATTGCTTGTCTGACGATTCTAATAAACCTGCACGTGGATCCAAACGTCTGTTGTTGGTGTCACTCCCCGTGGTTAAATGAGCATTTAAACTGGTTTCTTGAGATTTTTTTTACCATATACCTACTAAGGAGATATCACAAAAACTTTGGCTGTTTCTCAATTGCAAGAACGCAGAGAATGGACTTGCGTTCTCGTGGAGAGCGTTCTTGCCAGGCCACCTCAGAAGAATGAACTCGGGAGACCTTTGAGAAATGAGATGCTGTGTACTTCCCGATGGTCACATGACCTTCATGCATTTTTATGTAAAATAATTTAAACATTACAGCCTTCATACAAATATTTATTTTTCCCCCTGTTTTAAATATATGTAGCATGCACAAAAACCTTACAAATATACTTTGTACAAAAAAAAAAAAAAACGATTTTAATACAAACTTCAGCAAATAAACACCCTTAATGTGTTTACACCTTTATTAAGATTTTCTTTTAATGTTTACTTTTACTGCCTTAATTAGTGAAACTCCTGAGAAGTTTTATCTCTGAACTTTAAAATTAAACATGTATAAAATGCTGAGCTTCCCTTTGGAACTGAACTTTTGCAGTTGATGATGACGTTACACGAGAACAAGAGGACACAAGATTGCTGAAGAACGTATATTGAGAAACAGCCAATTTAACTTATTGAACCAATGCAGTATATGGCACCTTTAAGTGCACAAATTACTTACATAGCAGGACCAAGAAGCCTCCCAGAATTCCCAAAGCTCCATGGAGTGGCATTACTGCAATTCTTCCACACACAATATCATTGCCTTTGCAGTCACATACACTTGCTTGAATGGAGCTGTTTTTATGGTTTTCGTTGTTATCATAAACCATTAGGACTAAATTGTAAACATCTGGTTCCAACACAGTATTAAGCGTCAACAGAATCCCAGTTTCTACAACAGTGAAATAAATAGGTTAGTATGCATTCCCAAACATGAAATATATATATATATATATATATATATATATATATATATATATATATATATATATATATATATATATATATATAATAAGTATTTATTTCAAACCCTGTTAATAACTGCTTACTGTTTTCGTTCATTTCCGCAGTCCAGTTTTTCTTGGTGTCTCCTAGGAGGCTAATGCTAAAAGGAGCAGCATAAGGAGGTCCATCTGTGTCCGTTATAGAGAGAAGGACTGTGGCCTCCCGATTGCAAATTTGTATATGTTCTTCATTAATAACAGGAGCATTGTCATTTACATCCTCCACTTTAATTACCAGGGTTCCTGTACCAGTTGCTGGATTGTCATCTGCATAAATGTACAAACTTCAATCAACATTATTTAGGGTTATGCTAACAAGAATAATTTTTCTTAAAATAAACAGATATTACCATCATTATCCAGGGCCAAAATAGTAGTTCTGTATTTGCCATCTCTGACATAGGAAGACTCTCTATCCATAGAGTTTCTAATTTTAATCAGTCCAGTCTCCCGATTCACAGTTAGCCAGCCAGCAGGATCATTGCTAATTTTATACCTGGAACCAAACAGTAAAAAATATAATTTTTGTGAAGCAATTATTTAATTATAGACCTGTATTCTATTTGAACATGTTATAAAATGAAATTTACTTCAGTGATGGGAATCCAGTTGTTTTCAGCAATTACTACTCTAGTCTTCAGAGTCACAAGTGATCATTCTCATATGCTAATTTGTTGTCTAAATTTATCTTAATTACAATTAGAGCTCCATTATCAACAAATTGTTACTGGAAATTGATATTTGCGATCACAGAACTCAATTAAAATACTTAAAAATGAATTCTAATAAAAATACACCCACCAGGTACAACTGTTCAACAGCTTAATGAAAATATATAATCATGCAATAACATAGCACCAACCCTATGCATTCTGGCATGTAGACATATTTAAGCCAACCTGCTGAAGTTCAAACCGTGCATCAGAATAGGCAATTTAAATTTACAATTAGTCATTTAGCAGATGATTTTATTAAAATGAGTGATGCATCATGCAGTTAATTGAAAAGAGTCAATATTAACAGTGCAACTAATGCAAATTTACAGTCAGGACTTAGATTTAGGTATTTGTTTGATTTCTGACACTACACACTAGCCAATAATGGAAAGAGTGGATGCTTTGTTATTTTCCGCAATAGAATTTCAAGGTGCCATGTTGAAACACCACAAGAGAAGCAACGTTTAATCCCAGTCCATGGATACTTTGAATGCCCAGGTCACAAACTTACATAGCCCATCATTCGTCATCTCCGCCATTCACTGGTTTGTTTAGTGTTTGGAAAAAGACGGCTTGGCTGTTTATTGACTCTAATACAAGGCAGGAGTTCCGTGGCAGATTTTGCAGTGGAGTGTCAAATATTAGCTGCAACTCCAAAGGTTAAGAATGAAATTTATGCATGAGCTGCTTCTGACAAACTGAATGAAGTCATCAGCCTGGCCTATTTACTTGACAATAAGATGAAGTTGCATTAATGTGTGTGTGGATTGTCGATGCAGAAAAAAATTCAAACCTTTGTTTCCACCTCTATCCCTCCTACTATGGATACTGTAAATGATGTAGAGGAGAGATGGGCAAACTTGATCTGGTGTCCAACCGAATTTAAATTTCCAACCCTAATTAAACATTAATCTGCTTAGGGTTGGGGTTATTGTAAGTTGACATGTACTTGCAAAGTTTCTTGTGGTCAGTTAAATGTCTGTTGAAGAAGCAGTATCAACAGATATTAAGCAGACAGTCAAATATTCAATTGAATTATCAAAATAAAGTGTTACTAAAATGTTTTACCAAGTTGGATTGCCACAATGCTAACCATCTTGACAACCTTCGCAGACAACCTTCAATACACTTACTGGACATGTTTAGTTTTTCAGTAGCTGCTGAGACTGCCTTTAAAATAAAACAGTTTGTGGTAGAGGTTCCTGCCTTTTGCCTGTTCTTTGGCTTCACATTGTCATATGAGCTGGGCTCTAAAATCACCAAACCTTATGCCTTACATTTTTTGTTCTTGGTTCTTCAGCAGATTCCTACCATTTTTCCACCATTGACCCTTTTAAGTCCCCCCCCCCATTCCTTCCTGTTTACATATTGTCAAGGATTTTGTCATAGGACTCCCTCCAGTGCCAATACTGTGTTCCTGTGGTATATTTGAGGTGCCATCAAGCTGGAGAAGTAGTGTCTGCTGCCATAGATATTATGCCCCGTTTCCACTGAGTGGTACGGTACGGTACGGTTTGGAACACTTTTATAACGTTTCCACTGTCAAAAGGCTGACCTAACCGAACCGTATCGTACCACTTTTTCAGCACCCTTTCGAAAGGGTACCAAACCTGAGAAAGGGTACCAAAAGGTGAAGCTACATGCGCAGCTAAATGCTGATTGGTTACAGAGATACGTCACAAGCTCATGTGGAGCTAGCCAGAATGAAAACAAAGCAACCTCCATGTTCTAATACACAGCCGAGACATTACATTATAAAACTATATGCATATAATAACGAGACATGGATGACACGAGCTCTAACAAACCTTGACTTTGTCTTGATGTACAGACACAAAGCTAAGAAGGACAAAATCTGCCATGTCCTGTTGTTGTTTTACGAGTCTGTCTAAAAGTGCAAACGGTTTTCACTTTTTTTCCAGGAGCTCGCGATCGTGCCTACATTTGATATAACTAACTTCTTGAGCTGATGATAATAATGTATGTGTGATTATTGAAGTGTCTCTGTCATCTGATCCATTAAAAATGAAAATAACAAACGAGAGAGTGAAGTGCGAACAAAGGAGAAGCACAACAACCCACAGGAGCAAATTGTTTCAGCAACCTGATTCACGAACAAACTGCCAAGTTTATAATCGCCTTTTAGCTATTATGAACTATTATTAACTCAGAATGACAGAATTACTCTCTAACAGAGCTTATATGTGATGGTGAAGATTACAGACACAGATGAGAGGTTTGCACTGACTGTAAGCTATTTTGCGTGTTGTTTATAAATAAGGACTAAATGTTTGTTGTGTGTAGTTTTTCTGTAGTTGGTAACATATTTGTGTTTATATATGTTGCAATTATTTATTTATTTTACATAATTGCAGATGTTACAGTAGGCTATTTTACACTGCCATTGATCTGCAGTTGATCTGCATGAGTGTGAGAAGTGCTTCTCATATGAAATGTGAATGACCTGTACAGCTTTACTGTAGACATATATTCGAGTGAGAATGACGTCGACTGAAACTGAAACCAGTGGAAACGGGCCTAGAACTAGAAGAGCTTGTCCACCGCAACATGGAGGGGAGGGGAGTGGAGTCATCACTGATCACTAGAGGCCAAGCCCTTCTGTCATCTACTGTGATGGGGATAAACAGGTAGAGCATGGGATTGGGGGTGTCACCTGCCAGCCAGGGAGTTCATGACCATCCACTTAGGGGAAGCCAGTGCTCTCAGCTGGTAGAAGACTAAGCAGCAGTTTCTTTGGGAGGGACTTGACCCTCTAGCTTCTGTCTTACTTCATTCTTCTATCACCTCATCTGTTTGTTCTTCAGCGCTCAAAGCTGCCGCGATATCAGAAATAAAGCAATGCGGAAATTATGTTGGCCCACTGCCCTTTATTCTATTGGTGCAGATGTTTTCTGTTTTTTCAACTTAAAGTCAGTTAAACTGCTGAAGAACGGTGTTGTCACACGCGTTCTGATCAGCTGTGCGCGTACTGTAAAGCGGGGGAGGGGGGGGTTGAGCGCGCATACTCAAGAGCAGTGTTGTCACGCGCCTACTCCAGGGCAGGAATGGAGGGTGTGTCGCATCGCGGGGGCACTTTTGATCATTTCGGAAGGCCACTTTCTATCCAAGACTAAAAAGGGCATGTGCACTGCACAGGTTGAGCCCTATGTGTGCACGTGCCTGCTTCCACTAGTAGCTTCATGATTAGTTTTTATGTTTCAAACATCTAAACTGGCCCCTTCTCTCCCATACAGTACCTTCTAACCAGTCTAACCAGTCTTTTCTAACTTACATGACAGTTTCAACATAGGTTTTATAAATTTCAGGTTTTCCCCGCTGTACTTACACAGATGATTCTCATTACTCTGCATTGTATCCCCAAGTCCTCTCTCGAGCGCTCTCATGACCCTTTGCCCTAACATACCACCTGTTTTCAAAGACATATAATGGCAGATTCATATAGCCCTCCACTCACCCAATTAAATGTGTTTTTACACAGTTTTAGAAAATGAAATTTTTTTTCGTTCACTATAGTCAACTGCTCTCCACAGTCACCAGATCTCAATCAAATACACCACCTCTGAGATGAAATCCTAAGTGATTTATAGATGTACAACTGACAAATCCACAGCAAATATGTGATGCTCTCATGACAGAATGAACAAAAATTTCATACAAATGGTAGCACTTTTTTGAATCTATGCCACAGGGCATTAGGGCATCTCTGAAAGCAAATGGGAATGGCACTCCTTTAAGTGTGCCTAAAATGTGGCTGGTGAGTGTATATTCAGTATTGAATTCACAAACAATATAGTAAATGTAATATAGAAAATGCCACAGCCATATCACCCAGTAGTCCAAGACTGGTTACTTACTGAAGCTAAGCTGGGCTGAGCCTCGTTAGTACCTCGATGGGATACCACATGAGAAAACTAGGTTGCTGTTGGAAGTGGTATTAGTGAGGCCAGACAACCTGCAGTCTGTGTGGCTTGTAATGCCAGAGTAAAGTGAAGGGGGCACTATACTGTCAGTGAGCGCCAACTTTTGGATGAGACGTTAAACCAAGGTACTGACTCTCAGTGGTCATTTAAAATTCCATGGCACTTCTTGTAAAGAGTAGGGGTGTAACCCCGGTGTCCTGGCCAAATTCCCTCCATTGGTCCTTACCCATCATGGCCTTCCAATCATCCCCATCCACTGAATTGGCTCTATTACTCTCTCTCTCCACTCCACCTATAGCTGGTGTGTGGTGAGCGCACAGGTGCCACTGTCCTGTGGCTGCTGTCACATGATCTAAGTGTATGCTACACTCTGATGGTGGTGTGGATTGTGAATCGCTTTGGTCTAAGGTCATACACAATGCACTATATAAATGCACATTACATTACAAATAATTTTGCGGGCAATGCTCATTTAGTGCAACAGAACTTTGCTGTGATATCTACTATTTTCTCATAATATATAAATATCAACTTTACCAATCTCAAACTTTTAAACTGTAGTATATGTATACATGTAAAATGGTGTATTTGTTCTTACGTTATCTTCTGCAGTCTCCCAGTGTCTGGATCAGTGGCTGTGTAAACAACCACATCACTACCAACTGGTAAATCTTCAGGTTTGGAAATAATCTGCTCCTTTGGAATAAACTCAGGCGGTTCATTCACATCTTCTACATTTACAGTGACTGTGGCAGTTGAAGTAGGCAAAGGACCAACAAATTTATCATCGTTCTCAACAATCACAGACAGAATGCACTGCTTGGTCTTCTCATAGTCCAAAGGCTAAATAGAAAAAGAAACAGCCTTTTACTAAGATGTGTCACCACAAATAATTGCCTGAGCATAAGTAAGAGTAACACACAGTACCTTTACAGTCATTATGACGCCCTCTAGACGGCTGGGTCCAGTGCTGACATTGAAAAACCCACCCTTGTCACCACTAATGATCCGATACTTGGTGGACCAGGCTGGTGATCCAAGTTCATCTGCATCAATAACTGGAAGTTTGGCCACTATAGCCGCTACTTGATTCTCTGAGACAGATACGATGTGCTAAAACATAAAATTAAGTATTTATACAGAAAAAATTACTCAATAAAAATATGATATCTTCAATAAAATTAGTCAGATTTTAAACGTTTATAATGTATGCAATACCGTGGTTTCGTCAAACTGAGGTGCGTTATCATTGCTGTCAGTAACAGTAATAACTGCTGTGCCAGTGGTCATCATACCATCTCCTTGAAGATCTGCAGCTTGAATTACCAAAGTATATCTGGACAATTGCTGAAAGGTAAGGCATTGTTAGGTGAGAGTGATTACATGAAATCATTCTATACAACTGTAAAGTAATTTAATCCGAGTCCTCACCTCTCTGTCTAGACCTAAGAATTTTACATAAATTCCTCCAGTAACCAAGTTGATTTCAAACATGTTTGGATTTGGTAATAATGGATCTTGGCTAACAATTTTGTATCTGACATCAGCGTTAAAAGTATCTGGGTCATCAGCATCAGTGGCTGTGACTGCCATAAACTCATGACCTTTAGTGAGAGAAGAATAAAAACAACATCATGAGGGATCATTGAAATGTATAATATTGTTCTATTGGTCTGTTTACTTACCTATTGTAGCAGATTCAGAAACGTGTCCATTAAAAGGATTTTCAACAAACACAGGCCTATTATCGTTCTGGTCAGCTACAATGATAGTAAGGTTGGTCGGTTTCTCTTTTATTCCTTTAACTGAATTAGCATGAGCCATGAGCTGAAAACACAAGATGCAACATGGATATAAAGTGAAGCATTCCACAATTCCAGTAAAACATATAGTAAAATACTCTATTAAACAATTAAGTGTAAACATTTAAATACAAACTTAAAGGGCCCCTATTTTCCCCCTTGTTTAAGATTTAATATTAATATTATGGTTTTTCTGAATGTGCCATTTTAGGTTCAGTTCAAAACAATTCAGATTTTTTTTATTAAAATGTGTTAAAAAGAGTCATTTTAGGAACTTTCACAGTTTTTTAGATGCACAAAAGTGTTTTTGGGGCTTCATATAATTACAGTTGAACCACAGAAGTCACACAGAATGTTTTGAAAATGTTTTAGGTTCCTTTTCTGGACTTGTGATCATTGCTGTCTATGGAGGATGAGAAAGCTCCTGGATTTCATCTAAAATATTCAACCCAGGCTTATTCTGAAAACATACCGTTATATACATATTTGGAGAGCACCAAATACGTCCCAGGAGCTACAGTTTTTTTGCAGTTTTAGTTTTCACAAAACCACCAGAGGCACGTTTGCTTTTTTAGAGATCTCAAAGTTCTCTCGCGAGTGCCATTCGCACCTGCTGTTTTCGCGTGAACCCATTAGAGGCTGCTGTCGACTGACTGACTGACTAACTGATTGACTAACTGGCGGATCGACTGACCCACCCTCCTCCTTCCTTAAACCCAACCATTAGTGTTTTCAAAAAACAATCCAGAAAAAAAGCCCTCGCCTAATTTTTACCACGTTTTCAGATTTTACCACATTCTCACGCTTTTATTTACTTTATTTTTTGGCTGCTGTTTTCGTCTTACCCGCTTTCTGGAACCATTTTTTGACGGACCCAAACTTTGTCGTTGTGGTCAACTCTCTGCTTCTCAAGTTCGCCAAGGTACATGGCGAGCTAATGGGACAAACTGGTAACAGCGAGAAAGCCGTCCAAGCCAAAGTAAGTGCTGGTAAGCGCAAAAAGGAACGACATCATACCGCCCCGTAGTGTTTGTTTTAAAGATGAAATTCAGCCATACGTACTTCTGGCTACATAATTCACAATCTCCAGAAATGTATATAGGGTTCCATTTTCAGAATAAGCCCATGTTCAAATTATCTTAATTTGTGTTCTGTAGACAAATAAAAATCTCAGGATTTTGGGGCAACATGAGGTTGAGTAATTAATATCAGAATTTTTACTTTGACTTTTTAAGGCTGCAAAATGTAAAGTTTTTGTTCCAAATTATGTAATGGTATTTCAAGAGTTCACACTTAGCTGATGATTGATTATGAAGCGTGTTTGGCATGCTGTCCTGGGAGAAAGCCCTGAGCTTGCAAAATCCTTGAGCCTGGGACTCCCTACCATTTATAAGGCGAGAGGGGAGTTCAATCTCAGGCAGGTCTCGAGAACGCCGCTTACATATTGCTAATGACAATTAGGAATTGCAGATTAAGAGCTCATCAATGGTGATAATTTGCTTTGGTCAATTTACCTATGTCACATGTCTTTTTCTGTGCAGAAAAGCGGAGAAACTGGGGGAAACCCACACGAGCACAGGGAGAACATGTAAACTCTGCACAGAAATGTGTACTGGCCAAGTAAGAATTTGAACCAATGACGTTCTTGCTGTGAGGCCACAGTGCTAACTGGGTTGCCAAACCACACTGTCAAGGAAAGGAAGGAGGAGTAGGGTGGAAAGGGGGATTCTTCAAGACAAAGATAACTTAAGTAAGAAACTGATTATTTATAATGAGTTAGGAATCATCTGATTGGTGAATCCTGCATCGCTAAAGCAGGACCAGCTGTGGTCAGTCATTATTTTATAAATAAACTTCATTTAATGATCAATGTTACGGCTCAGTATCTGTGCCTGTTTGTTTGTTTGTTTGTTTGTTTTTTCTCTCTCCCTCCTTCTCTACCTATCATTTTCTTTAGGTCCGCCCAGCTCATCTACCTATTGGCCAAGCTAGATGACAGTCATCATTACCATTTGCGATGACATCATCATTGACCAATCACAAGCAGACTTCCCCACTTTAAAAGGACGCCGGTGCAGTTGAAAGCCAACTTGCTTTTTGCTTGCTCACTGTTGTGTGTTTGCTATGTTGGTTGACTGTGTGTTTTGCTGGATGGTTGGATTATGTGACAGTTTCTTGTGCTATGTGTGTTATAATCATTTGTGCTGAAATCGATCTTTAAAAGTGTTCTAATTGTGTTTTCTCTCTGATCACCAGATATACGACATCAATGGGATTCGAGGAACAGGGTAGATGTCACGTGACCTACATGTTGAAACACGTAGGAGATACCAATGTATTATACACACTAGTTTAGAAGTGTGCGCCACTAATTGTAAGTTTTGTTTACATTTGTGTTTAGAAGTGTAGTTTAAATAGGGCGTGAAAACGCTGAAGACTTTTCTTTTTCTTTCTTTTATTAGATAGTATAGAGATTGTGGGTTCTAGTTAGAGTTGTGTTTTGTTATATTATTTTCTTTTCTTTGGCGCCACTTTTGTTCCTCCTCCCCTTATTACAATCATTTATTTATTCTTGTTTTCTTTATTTTGTATATACTTTGTTTATCATTTATCCACTTTGTAAAATAAACACTTATTTTGGCATAATTTGGTTGTTTGTCTACTCAATTGCCACCACTATTCATAAGAGTCATAATTTTTAAATGTTGCGTTAACCCTAGCGTTTCCATCTTAAATAACTGTAACATTTAATTGGGGGCTCGTCCGGGATCTCTAAATACTAATTTGACATGCTTTAGAGAATTTTAGAGACCAGAAGTTATGATTATTTGTGTTTGGTGGTGACAATTGTGCTAGAGTGAGTAGTGCGTGTTTTTCAGGCAGAGAAATATCGTAATACTAGTTTGCCTTATCTAGGTAATGGAGGTGTTTAGTGTACAAAACTTTATAAAAATCCCAACAATAGAGCAGATGCAGAAAGCAGGACTTTTTGCTGGTGGCTGACCACTACCAGATTGAAGTAAGTAAACACAGTAGTAAGGCAGAATTAAGGGATTGCATACTAGAGAATTTGTATGAAAAAAATGTGCTGCCAGTGGAAAAGGTGAGTGAGAATGTTGATAAAGTAATTCTTGATGACGTGGCGGTCGAACATCTTAGTGTGGGTGCTGAGGAGGATCTGCAGGGTCAAGCTAAGGTCGATGCAGAGGCAAAGGCTGGATTGCCACCCTTTGATTCATTCTCCCCAATGTCCTCTGTTTCAAGGAGTGATGCGAGACTGAAAGTCCGTTTGGCACGCTTGCAACTGGAAGCTCATAATAAAGAGCAAGCTCGGCAGGCTGAAGTTAATTTGCATTTAGAAATACGCAAACTTGAGATTAAGGCTGAAACACAGATCAAGCTACGGGAACTAGATCTGGAGGCGATGAAGATTTCCTCCTGTTCTGCTCCACCGTCTAACTCGACCCCTGCCACTGCCTTGCCCACCCCTGCCACTGATGTTTCAACTCCGACCGCTACTGCTCCACACGCCTTTGACATTGGTAAGCACATTGTTTTGATACCACAATTCAGAGAATCAGAAGTAGATTCATACTTTACTGCATTTGAGAGAATAGCTACTTCTTTGCACTGGCCTAAGGATGTTTGGTCATTGTTACTGCAATGTAAAGCTCAGGAGGTATGCTCAACTTTATCTTTAGAAGATAGTTTAAAGTATGATTGTGTAAAGTTTGCAATTCTAAGAGCTTATGAGCTAGTTCCAGAAGCTTACAGGCAGCGTTTTAGAGGTTGTAGAAAGAATGGTACACAGACTTTTTGTTGAATTTGCACAAGAAAAAAGGCTACTTTTTGATAAATGGTGCACACCTAGCAAAGTGGATGATATGGAGTCACTGCAAGAACTAATGTTGTTAGAGGAGTTTAAAAATTGCTTGCCCAACCGTGTTGTTGTGTACTTGAATGAACAGAAAGTTAATTCTTTCACATGCAGCTGTTTTGGCTGATGAGTTCATTTTAACACACAAAAATGTCTTTGCACCTGTACGTTCAGACAAATCACAGATTGCTCAATCTCAACCCAGTCGTTCTAAAAAGAGCACTGTTCCTGAGGAACGCGCCTGTTTTTACTGTCGAAAACAAGGTCATGTCATTTCCGATTGCTTGGTTTTAAAAAGAAAACAACAATCACAAGTTAAAAGCGTAGGGTTTTTAAACACTCACACCGCTTTTAAGATTCCTGACAATAACTAAAACAATGACATTGATGACAAGTACAAACCTTTCATTTTAGAAGGATTTATTTCCTTATCAGAAAATTGTGATGAAAGGGTTAAAGTGAAAATACTTTGGGACACTGGTGCGCTGCAGTCTTTTATTGTAGCAGACAAACTACAGTTGTCTGGCGACACTTACTGTGGATCTAATGTAATAGTTCAAGGAATTGAGATGACTTGTATTACAGCACCGCTGCATCGTATACACTTAACAAGTGATTTGTGTACAGGATTTGTTCGAGTTGCAGTACGGTCGTCACTACCTGTAAAAGGCATTGACTTCATCCTTGGCAATGATTTGGCTGGAGGAAAGGTAACGCCTGTGTTGGAGGTTCTAGATAAGCCAGATGTGAGTATCCAAATAGACTCCTGTTCAGATCCAGAAATTTTTCCCGCATACGCAGTCACACGCGCACAGTCACGCAAGATGGGAAATGTAGTTGAATTGGCTGACTCATTTTTCTCTCCTTTCTTTGCTGGTAAAAATTTCACTATTGAGGATTCATTGAAAAATCAGGCAGGAAAGGCTAATGTTGATGTGACTGACAATAATCTGTTACAGTTACCTGTGTCTCGTGAGAGAATTACTATGGCTCAAAAAGAAGACCAGTCTCTTGTGTCACTTATTAATGCTGCTGTTTCAGGTGTTGAGAACAAAAGGCAAAGAGTAAATTTTTCATGGACAAAGAGTTATTGATGCGAAAATGGTCTCCTAGTGCGGATGATGATCTGGAGTGGGATGCAGTGTATC